TCACAACAAGGTAGTGAGTAATTGAACTGCAGTCAGAGAATGTGTAATTGAACTGAGTATTGTCGAGCATGAGCATGTGAGACGTTCTTTGAGAATTATAGTGTTGTTATAGAGCGACTGTTGAAATTAAGTGTATCGGTAAAATTGTATTCGGAAAGAATAAACCAGTTTTATTTAAGAAAGGACTTGTGTTGCTAAAGTTTCGTTGGAATGAATTTACGGAAAAGTAATTAACGAACGAACGGAGACGTAACAGTAGAAATATATGGCAATGTTCATGATGATTTACTGTATGCCCTACACACACAAGTCTATAAAAGCCACATGTACATTTTAGTAAATATATATATGCTTTAAACAGTACTCCTAAGAATATGGCAAGAAAATAACTTGTACAACTGAACTTAGTTCTACATCTACGTAAAAGGCATCATTTTAAGAACTTTTAGTAAACCATGTTTTCATACCTACTAAAATAAAAGGACACTTGAAAACACAATCCGAGAAAAAATTTATTAAAATATAACATCTTTCACAATGAAATTTACAACAGTGACCTAAAGAATGCATGAATACAAACACTGACAAATTGAACAAACAAAATGCAGTTTGAAGAAACTAGAATTCTCTCTTCTAGGCAATGATATCTGAACAAATGTCTCGGGAAAACTACAACAATTATGAAATCCCACATAAACCACAGGACCTTTAAGGAAATGTGTTCAGTATCACAGAAAATCAAAATTGTGAGGAAATATATGATTAATTTCAACAATAAACCAGATTATAATGTTTTATACAAACACCAGGTTCATCAGTTTTCATTCATATGACAAGAACAGCACTTGGCAAATTAAGAACTTTGTGCTTAAAGGAATCTGACCTTGTGAAATGTGACTTCTGTGACACTGAACTGAATTTTGAGATTCAAACCTTATTTATCCTAAAAACAAAGATGCTTTAATACAGCGAAGTGTACTAATAAACTTGGTCCTTACAATAAACAATGTACTTTATGCAGCATTATTAAAAATTGTTGTTTAATATATATTATTTCAGATCATTCAAAACTTCAGAGCTTATCAAAATCGTCACAGCAAATGAAATAAAACTTGAAACATCCAGACCAAAAGCCTATTGATCAAGGTTATATGCAAATTTTTAATTTCCTAACAAGTTCCAAATACAAATTATACAAAATTCATAAATAAACGCACTGTCTACTATGCCTAAAACCAATTAGTATGTGAAACAATCTATTGTTGACAATATGTAAATTGAAAAATAAATAAGTTTGGAATTATTTTTAAGAATTTAAAACTAATTTTTTGTAGATACACTGTTTTTTTAGAACATAGAATGTGATACAGACTAGTATCTATTATTTCCACATTAATTTATTTCCTGGGTAATATATACATTTTTGGAAGAAAAATTTGTTGATTATAAATATTTGCCAAGATATTATACAAAAAAAAAGTGTAAATACTATATTTGTTCACATTTAGATGACATCACCATGAATTTTAATAATAGTTCAATTACCAAACACGCTATGGTTAACGTTCAAGTACATTAGACATCTATTTATTAAACTGGTCTTAAATATCTGTTACTTTGGAAAAAGCTTCTTATACAAATAGTTTACTTTTATGTAAAGAACAGAGGATTTTCCTAGTCAGAAAAGTGTGTTAAATGAACATACTTAGAATTTCCTCTATGTCAAGCTTTCATCATAATGCACGTGTAGAAAAAAAACTATCTACCTATTAGTTTTGTTCTTAAACAGACTTGTTTGCCATAATTAACAAAAAATAATGACATTTAATCAGTTTATATGTGTTTTTCTAGAGTTATTTTTGGCTTGATTGCACCACAATTGTAAAATAATAACAACGTTTAGCACTCTAGACATTTTTGGTTCATTTTAAAACTTGATGAAATAAAAGTATCGTGAAACATAAAACACACAAGGATAGGATTATAAGGAAAAAACATTACAATAAAAACAGCAATATAATATTGCAACTCTCACTATATCATGTAAAAAACAAAGCATCTCTTTCTTAGCAAAATCATTTACTTAACCAGTAAACTGGCACCAAGATTGTGAGGTTTATCATTTAAAAATTCACATTCTGAAACATTTTTTTTTCAAATTTCGTCTTATTACAAAATGACAAACTTGTTTTTATAAAATTGCGAAGACCAACAAGGAATGCAACTTCTAGTAACACTAGACAACAAGTACAACAAATGGTTACTTATAGGTGAAGGGCCAATTAGTTCACAGCATTACATGGGAAAACATTTAAATTTTACCATCAATACGTAGCATATTTTAGTAAGGTGAAGCTGAATCCTATAGTATAGTGGAAACAGGCATGCTTTTTTCATTATGTTTGTGATCATAATCTTATGTCTGTCTTTTTTATATAAATTAAAGGATCCTACAGCTGCTAATTTGATAAAGAAAAATTGAATCATAAGAACTTAACTCCAGAAGAAGCTCTCAAAACATAAATGTCATGTACAGCCATTTAAGAACTAAACATGGCATATTCTGTTTGGCACAAACTTTTGAAATATAACAGCCACTCTTTGACCAAAAAACAAAGACCAATCACTTGACCTTTGACCCTGATATTTTCCAAAATCTGTTTGTTCAAATAAAAATCACAATTCAATGAGCAGATTCACATTCTCGTGTTGTTCTGTAAGTTAAAAAGCTGACTTAGAAAAGTGGTAAGCCATAAAATGAATAGTAAGTTTCTGTCATATTTATTAACAGCATAAAATATATCTAACAATATTATGTTTGTACAATTTCACCTTAACTCTCAAGCATCTTCAATAACGTACAATACCACTATTTGACACAATAATTATATTTCACACCATTTCATTTATAAAATGGTTCTAAAAGTATACAGCGTAAGCTTGGAATCTTTAGAATAAACCTAAATATATATAATTGTCAAAATGTTTACGTACTGATTATTTTAGTCTGATTCTCTTCTTTTTTCTATGACTATAAAAATCACTGTAACTTTTTAAAATTATACACAAAGACAAAGTATTTATTTAATTGTCTACCACTTATAAGTTTAAAATTGTACATGGTCACTAAACATGGGTACTTACCACTTATGCATCTCTTGAAAAAGATACATCTTTGCCACTGTTGTTTTCTGTTGAACGTGACTCATTGTCAGTACAAAAACCTTCCTTTTCTGTACACTAAGTTATATCACTTAAAGAATACATTAATTTTAATTAAAAGCATGAATAACAATACTTTTAATCTTTTTCTTTTCAGTTTTCCACTTGTGCACTTACAGTCCTTTGGCAACTAACATGTGAAAGCTGTAGAATTAGCCAGAAATAACAAGCTTAAAACAAAACCAGTTTAATACTTTTCACGATAGGGTAAGTAAAATCACCTAACAACTAATATGTGAAAGCTGTAGAATTAGCCAGAAATAACAAGCTTAAAACAAAACCAGTTTAATACTTTTCACGATAGGGTAAGTAAAATCACCTAACAACTAACATGTAAATACGACTAAAAACCCAGTGAACTTTGCAAAGCTGAAGCAACTTCTGTACAGTTGACAAACAATAAAATATATTACTGCCTTTCTGTAATCACCACAATTTGTCTCATCCAGAGTTAATAAAATAAACAACATAAAAATAAATAAATTCTTTAAATAGCTTGTGAAATAACAAAAAATACAAAAATAAACATAAAATTTTGAGATCTAGGATCAAACTACGTTCATTTATATCTACAGAGAGGATTTAAAATATTTAAAGGGCTTGCACAAAAATTTAATCTCTAAATTTAAAAAACTTTGTACATTTCTTGTAAAATATATAGTTGTAATCTGATTGGAGTAAACTATTTTTTTTTTATTTAACTTTAACACAACAGCTCATCATTGCATTTAAAAATTATGCTAAACCTTTGTAAGGTCACATCAAACACTATTTTGTATAGTTGAACAATAGCTTCTGTCTGTCAAATAAAATAGTGCTCAACAGTGTTTCTTACAATTAGTCGAAGTTAAAAGTCCCTATTTAACAATACAAAGTTGAATTTGTATTTATAGCAAAGGTATTAAAGCTATCTTCATTGTTCCTAATTTTGAACTAGTGACCAGAAGGAAGGCAGCCAATCAGCAGCAACCTATCACTTACAATCCATGCTAGAACCATCACTTTTATAATGAAAACACAGCTTAAAGTGAGGGGAATGTGTGCTTTCACACCAATTGAAAACCAGCTTACTAGCTCCAAAATCTAGAGATCTACCACAGAGCCAAATTGCACCCTAAAAATTGTTACTCTAAAATCTTTAAATCATGCAAACCCAACACTGCTACTCTTTTTGAAACTTGTATAACAAAAAGTATCTGGATGAATTTTAAACAGAAAAAAAAATCTGTAATATATGTTGATTATAAACACTTATTATCAGAATTATATAACTTATAATGTTAAGATTGTACAATCTGGAGAACAAAACATGATTGTTAATATATTTTTTATATGTGACATATCTAATTCTGCCACATTAATTTTCTAAGTATGCCTACAATTCACATAGGCCTTTATAAAATTTTAGTGGACCGAGTTTCTAGGTGGTCTATCTTTCATTAAATGTTGTTTAATGGAGAACAAAACATGATTGTTAATATATTTTTTATATGTGACATATCTAATTCTGCCACGTTAATTTTATAAGTATGCCTACAATTCACATAGGCCTTTATAAAATTTTAGTGGACCGAGTTTCTAGGTGGTCTATCTTTCATTAAATGTTGTTTAATGGAGAACAAAACGTGATTGTTAATATATTTTTTATATGTGACATATCTAATTCTGGCACGTTAATTTTATAAGTATGTCTACAATTCACATAAGCCTTTATAAAATTTAGGTGACCAAATTTCTAGGTGGTCTATCTTTCATTAAATGTTGTTTAATGGAGAACAAAACGTGATTGTTAATATATTTTTTATATGTGACATATCTAATTCTGGCACGTTAATTTTATAAGTATGTCTACAATTCACATAAGCCTTTATAAAATTTAGGTGACCAAATTTCTAGGTGGTCTATCTTTCATTAAATGTTGTTTTTTGTGTTTGTTACTTGTGACCTTTGATTTTTAAGACTGTATGTAAATGTATACAATGATGGATGGTGAAATACTGCTAACAAAACCCCTTGCCATCAATTAACAACGTTTTTTTCTTCTTGTTTGGGTTATTAATTTTTAATACAGTAATTAAGATTCTTGTCATATAAAACACCTTTTCAACAAACTGTTAACGAACCTTTACACATTTTGTTTCAAGTGGTGCCCCAAAACATGTTTTATCCCTGAAAGTCTTTTTCCAGTTTAAAGCATTAAAGCAGAATACAGAAGTTTATTCTTTAATGTTTAAAAACTACAAAATAAATGTGTTTTGTTCTCAAGCATTTTCTTTCTCTTATGCCTGTGACAGCTACTTTAACCCTTAATATTTAAAGAATTGCTACTAATTAGCATAGAGTCATTTAAAGACTAAATGTCTACAACACTGTGGGCTTTGCTTCACACACACAGGTCTTTAGTGTTGCATCTACTACAAACCATAAAGATTGAGGTCATCAACAATTCCCTACTGAGCTTGACATTAAAGTTAACCTGGGACACATAAGATATGTATTTGGACTAGTTGCTAAAGTGTGTTCAGATGGGGCGAGTAGCTTAATGATGAGTATCTGTTTTAGTTTTGACTTGTTCGCGGTGAAACAAAGATATTAATTTCTCAAATTCACCATGATCAAACCATTTATTTTGAGAAGCACAAAAGGAAGTAACTTAACAGCCAATCAGAAAATGATTATCTTTCTCAGCCTATCAACGTTGATATAATGCTCAATTTCAAAGTCTCTAAAATCAGGGTTTCATACCAATACAAAGTATCTTTGGATATGTGTACACTACACTTAACCTATTTAATTATTTATCAAATATTGTTTAAACATTTTAATGGTTTTATATCTATACTTGTAGCTGACAAGTCTTATTAGCAAACAATTTCTAATGGCTTAAAAAGTTAATGTACAGTCCTGTCGTATGTGTCACTTAAATCTTTTTTTCCTGCTTCTTATTTAACACGTGTACGTTATACACTAAAATGCTTGCTATTAAAAATAAAGTACAAGAAATACAATATAAATATTCTTCTCTATAACTAACCGAACTAAGTAATAAACTACTATGTAATGATTACCTCTTTTGGCTGGAGTTTAATATAATTTTT